CCGGTGCGCGCCTAGGGCGGAGTGCCGCGCGCTGATTGGGCGCCTCGTGGAGGCGGGACCGGGATTGGGCCCCCGCGGCTGCCGTCTGCGTGGCGGAAGTGGGCGGGGTGCGCGCTTCCGCGCATGCGGGGTGGGGAAGCCGGGCCGGCCGAGAGGGGGCTGAAGCCTTCGGCTAGGGGACGCTTTCGTAGGGAGCGAAGTGCGTGTGGACTTGGGCGTCCCGAGCCCCCGGTGTTTCGGGGGCGGGTAGAGGAGAGGAGCCTGTAGCTCCGCGCCGAGGGGAGGGGGCTGAGAACTGAAGCTCGCCTACCGTGAAGTGGCCCGGTTCACCCGGCTCGGGGAGTGGGCGGCAGGGAGGGCCAGAGCCCGGTAGGTTGGTTGGAAACAGGTTGAAGGGCCCGGCTGGAAATTGATCCTGGGGCGGAGTCTCAGGACTGGGCAAGTGATGGGAGCTTTGGGGGTCAGTCTTCGCGCTTAGGTTCGAGGCCTGGAAGTTCTGGGAGGTGGGGCGGGAGGAACAGGCAGAAATGGCAGCTCAGGCTTGGCCTTGTAAGGTGCGAGTCAAGGATTGTTTAACGATCTCTAACCAGCCCGGCTCCCTCTCTCGCTAGGGATGTGGAGCCCCTGTTCTCTGAAGTGTTTCCGAAGAGAGGCTCTTCTGACACCTCAGCCCCAGGACACATTTAGGGAGTTGAGAGCCTGGGCTCCCACCCTACGTGGGAGGAGACTCAGGGTCGGGAAGCCTGCCCTCCCCACCCGCGGGCAGCTACCATGAGGTTAAATCAGAACATCTTGCTGCTGGGGAAGAAGGTGGTGCTGGTACCCTACACCGCAGAGCATGTGCCCAGGTAACTGTTCCACCTGACATAGGTGCAAGGCAGCTCCCCAGGGAGCAGTGAGGAGGGCCAGCCTCCCTTAGCCCAAATTTCAGAGGCTTTTTCCTCTGAGGAGAAGCATTGATGTGAGAGGTAGTTACATACAGGAAAACGTGAACAGTGAAGCAGAGGACTCTGACTTCCCTGGAGGTCACCCATCCCCAGAGTTCCTTTTCACCCTCTCAGCTTCTTTTCGCCTTTCTGCAGGGAATTATTTTATGTAAACTAAATGTGTGTAAGAAAAAGAAAAAAAAGAAAGTATCTTCTCACCTGATTGTAAATTGGTGACATTCCTTTGGTGCCAGTGAATATTCTCTTCTTGGAGACTATGTTAGCTTGTCAGAAAACTGAGCTGATGGGTTGGTCTGATGTCTCCTGTTTGAAAGGCTAGGGCTGGGATAGTTGGCAATGTCTGGTAGACTGGGATGGTGGTGGTGTAGGGATGTATTCTCCACTTGTAGTTTTCTTTTTTGGGGGTTCCTTGTGCCCAGCCTTTGTGGAGATCTGTCCAGCCTTCTCTGCTGAGTTCAGCTTGCCATACACTTCCCCTCAGGAATTCGAGGAATGTTTCGCTTCAGACCACTCCCCCACACTGACCCCAGAGACCAGATGGGAAGCTGGTCAGATAGAGCCGACCCCTCCTGCTTGCTCTCTTGTAGGACCAGCCTGCCTCTAGGTCTCATGCCTGCGGCCCTCTGCCTTAGGAGCAATTATAACCCTTCCTTTGGGTCTTCTGTAAGCCCTAAGTTAGCCCTGTGGGGTTCTCCTTCCTGCCATCCTTTTCTTCATCTCATAGTGTCAGACCCATGCTTCTGAATCAGTCCTGCCTGCTGAAGGCCACCCCTCTGCCCCTGCAGGTACCATGAGTGGATGAAATCAGAGGAGCTGCAGCATTTGACAGCCTCCGAGCCACTGACCCTGGAGCAGGAGTATGAGATGCAGTGCAGCTGGCGGGAAGATAGGGACAGTGAGAAGCAGGGACCCTGGGCGGGGCTGGTAGTGGGCGGGCTGACTCCAGAGGCAGTCTCCAGGGCCCCTCCCATTCTCATTCCCAGCCCTGGCCCTTCTGGGGCATAGAAACCTTGTGAAAAGCACTTGGGGAAAAGCCTGGAAGGTGCCTGAAGCCCTCATGCTCTGATGCCCACTGAAGCTGGTCCCTGTGGCTGATGCTTCTGTCCTCCCCACTCACTGTGCCAGGCTTGGAGGGATTTAAAGGAAGTATTTTGGGCTGTGGTTGTAATTGAGGCCCTGCCCCTCACATCCTTTGCTGCAAGCCCAGTGTGATCACTGCTCTTCTTTGGGTCCCCCGCTGTCTGAAAATACACTTGCTGTTTGGAGAAAGCCATCATTTTCTGCAAGAGGCAGATTTAGGGCTTTTTAATCAGCTCAAGGAAGCTCTGGCCCCCCTTTCTCCCACCAGACTTGGAGACAGTGGTATTTCTCTGGCTTGGTAGGGAGACCGTCCCCACTGCCCTTCTTTGGAGAGTCTCAGTGAGAACCCTGTCACCTCTCTCCTTAGAGTGTACCTTCATCGTGCTGGATGCAGAGAAATGGCAGGCCCAGCCAGGCTCCACTGAAGAGAGCTGCATGGCAGGAGATGTGAACCTCTTCCTCACAGATCTGGGGGACCCCTCCTTGGGGGAGATTGAGGTCATGATTGCAGGTTCGTTCCCTCCCTTCTGGGCCTCAGATCTGCTGAACTTAAGGCAGCCAAGGTTGCATAGGGACCTCAGCTCAATGAGAGTCCCTGGCATTGGCGAGCCCAGCACCTGGCTGGGCAGGACTGCCACTTGACACCCTGTGGTCCACTTTGTTCCTGTCTTATGCTTAGGTGTGAACTCAACCTTTGGATTTATGGTCTTCAGACTTCACTCTGCCCCATTTTGGGGGTGGCCTGGGGAACCTCCAAATATAGTTGGTCTTCTCTGGAGCATCATCTTCCCATGCTGTGGGAGGAGCCCCTCCAGTTCCTGTGTCCTTCTTGGTCCTTACTCTTCTCCTAAGAGGCTATGCAACTCCTCATAAGGCAGCACACTGAGGTTAAGGGGTCAGTTTAGGGGTTAGGTTGCTGGGTATCTCCAAGCTATGAGACCTTGGACAAGTCACTTACCTTCCGTGTGTCTCTTTCTCCTCATCTGCAGAATGGTAATATTTATGGACTTCATAGAAGTGTGAGGGTTAAATGAGATCATATCTGTTAAGTGTCTACTCTGGAGCCTGGCACATGGTGTCTGTGATTGTTGTTTTCTCCTAGAGCCCAGCTGCAGGGGCAGGGGCTTTGGCACTGAGGCTGTTCTCATGATGATGTCTTATGGTAAGGAAGTCGGAGCAGACAGTGTGGGGAGAAGTGCCCAGGCCCCAGGTGAGGGCTAGTGCATGTTGGGAGTGAGTCTTCTTCAAGTCTGAAGGCTCAGGGTCAGGGAGGGGGGCAGGTGACAGGTGGTGCGGAGGGTGCTGGAGGGACCTTCATCCTGCAGCTTGTCCCTCTCTCTGGTCCCCTCTGGGAGGAGTGACCAAGCTAGGTCTGACCAAGTTTGAGGCCAAAATCGGGCAAGGAAATGAGCCGAGCATCCGGATGTTCCAGAAACTTCACTTTGAGCAGGTAAGGATAAGGCTGGCGGAAAGGTGAGCCTGGGTCTGGGCAGTGGGGCCTGCTGGTGTTAGAACTTGTGGCAGTAACTTAGCCAGCCCTGATCTCTCTGGCTGACCTAGGTGGCTGTGAGCAGCGTCTTCCAGGAGGTGACACTTAGACTGACAATGAGTGAGCTGGAGCGGCAGTGGCTTCTGGAGCAGACCAGTCACATGGAAGAGAAGCCCTATAGGGATGGATCGTAGGAGCCCCACTGACAGAGCCCTGCATCTGGAAGTGAATGGACCGGGCCTTTGTGGCAGTGCTCCCAACTCCTCTCCAGGCTGGGAATCTCCTTTTGGGGCCCTCAGACTCTGGGCAGGACTTGCCTTGGCCCCTCTCAAACTGGCAGTGTAGCTGAGCGACTCCAGGGCATTCCTCCTCCTGGCCAAACCTGGACTCAGACTCTCGGAACCTGGAGTGGACAGCATGAATCCACAGGGGGAGGCAGGGTGGACGTAGCGCTGGAGAGGAAGGGGGCCTGGCGAACAGGCTGGCCCTCCCTTTCTCTGAAAGGCCAGAGGTGCCACTCTGTGGCTGAGGCCCGGGCTGAGTAAAGCACACTGCACAGCCAGTTCTCCGTTTCCTCACTGGGCCGTGTGGAGGTGAGCTGCCAGGAGGCCACCTGCAGCGTCTATCCCGTCCAGCATGGGAGGGACGGGGGAGCTCAGTCCTCTGTCATCCTGTGGAAGCAGGTCTGGGAATGAGTGAGGCTGGCCCTGCTAGGACAGACAGGAGGCTTGAAAGCGGGTGAAAATCCTTGCTCCTTTCTTGTTGGAGGCAGCTTTGAGTAAGTTAGTTCGGGATACAGCCTCTCGTGGCTGGAGAGCACCCCTCTGCTGAAAGCTCTGGGCCTCCTGAAGGTACCTGAGTCCTGCCCTCCACGCTTTACCCCTCCATCTCTGGGAGGAGCTGCCCCTGTCAAGGCCACAAGGGGGCGCTTGAGGCACAGGTTTGGGATGGCATGGCTGCCTGGCAGCCAGTGCTTAACAGAGCTGGGCCAGGTCTTCCCACCTCAGAGCAGCCGGGACACCCATTTACTTCTAACTGTCCTCATGCCTTGTCGGTCTGGAGTGGCTGACACGAAAGCCAGTCATGTTTCAAAACACAGTTGTGGAAGAGACTCTTGAGGGCACCTAGGGCATTTTCAAGGGTAAAAAACAGTCCCAAGCATGTTGAAGCGGCTTGCCTGAGCCTTAGCGCTTTTGATGGCAGAGCCAGCACCCAGTCCTCTTGATCCTGGAAAAACTAGAATCGAAAACATGCCTGAATCCAAGACAGAAACTTCGTTTGCTGTGACCACCTTTATACCGCACCCCTAGCCCTACATCACTGGTTCCCTCTGAGCCACTGTCCCACCTGTCTTCAGTTTAATCAGTCAAAGGTGGCTAGGGTTCCCCACCCAGTAGGTGACCTAGTGGGGCAGCCTGCAGGCCTGCTCACCTGTGGGGTTTCCATCTGGGGTCAAAGCACAGAGGCAAGAGTGGGGTGAGGACAGGCCAGGCCCAGCTGAGCAAGGCCTGGGGCCATTGGTGCTAGAAGGGTTTTGGACATAAACCCAAACAAGAGGCCAAGATGGTCAGATAGTGACTGGCTCTTCTCTCCAAAGGCCCCCTCCCTGGTTCATCATCTCCCTTCTTGTTCAGTCCCAGGAACCGGCTTCTGAGGCTTCCTGGTTGGGTGGAGAGTAGCCTGGGGCCAACCTCCTTTCCTTCCCTCTCAGCACCTGCCCTGGAACCTTCTGGCCCAGCAGCCTCAGCTCTCTCAGGCCACCTGGCAGACTTCCAGGATGTGGCTGCAAGTGCCAGAGGTAGAAAAGGACCTGGATCTCTTGGGAACAGGGCATTTTGCCCTTGGCAAGTCCCCTGCACCCACCTGCCACATAGCATGTCCTGGGGCCTGGGAGGGCTGGGTTTGTTTTCCCCTAGACCTGGACAACTGCCCTCCAATCAGGTCCATGGCCAGATAAGAGTGTATTTGGCGCCAGCTCAGGCCACGCCTAGGAATCCTGCACCCCACTGGCTGAGGGCGGAAGGATGAAAGCCAAGTCTTCACGTTCCCAATCAGGCTCCCGCAGTTTCACGCTTTCAAGCTCCTGGACTCTTGAGCCCTCAGCAGGTGCCCTGGGCTCCTATTTCCCTGGATTAACGTCTGGAAAGGGCCCCAGCCCTATTGTGCCTGTGCAAAAGGACCACCAGGGGAAGCACCAGGAAGCTGGCTGGGTAGGGCCCCCAGGACAGTTAGAGACAGGCCCGGGGCCTTTGGTTAAAGTTACCCACCTCCCACTCCCAGGCTTGGGGCCCCAGGGAGCCCTGGGCCATCCTCTCCCTCCAGCTGTGCCCTACCCTCTCAGCCAGAGGCCACCCTGGGAACACAGGTTTGCCATTTCTCAAAGCCATGAGGACAGAGCTCTAAAAGAAGACACAGAGGCTGAGGCAGTTTGGAGAAACCAGTTGAATTTCTGATGGAGTTTCCTTACAATGGTGGTGCCTGGCCCAGGGCTGGCAGGGCCAACACTTCCCCCACCTGCCAGGGTTTCTGTGGTGGGAGTAGAAACAACAAAAATTTAAGGCTGAGGCAGCTGCTATGTCCTGGAGGCGGCAACCTGGAAAATCATGTTAATCAGGAGACAAAAATCCCTCTACTCTGCGATACTGCGCTCAAAAAAATCAACCGAACAAAGCTGCCCAACCCGCAGCTCTTGGGATGCTGTGGCTGCTGCAACCCCAGTCCTTGACCAACCCTAGGCCCAGTCATCACTTGGGGTGATGAGCTCTCGCCTGGTCCCTGGATCCTTGCTAGGTGCAGGTCCCAGTGATGTCCCAGGTGAGGGGCAAGGGGACACCAGGGAGGCTGTGCACTCAGGAAGAGGTGGACAGTCTGCTTTCTGATTGGGGTAGGACAGAAAAACATTCACTTTCCCTGAGATGAGGGAAGAACACGGTTCTCAAGAAGAATCAGATTTGCCAAGGGGAGATGCTGGTGCTGATTTGTTTGTCATTCAGGGGTCAGTGGGGAGGAGGGGGAGGGAAGGAGGTGGGGGAGAAGGCCTAGCCCCTCCAGCTTCCTCGGTGGCTGGGGGAGGTGCTCAGAGGTTGCTGAAGAGTTCGTTTTTCTTGCTCCAGTCCATCTGCGGGGCCCGTTTGTTGCTGCGCTTCTGGTGGGCCCTCTCTTTGGCCACGGCCAGGGAGATGTTGAAGTCCGGAATGGGGTCGGAAGAGGAGGAGGAGGAGGGGGCTGCGGAGTCCTGTTTCTTGGGGCTGTCTTGGGAATTCAGCTGCGAAGAGGAGGGGAAGGTAAAGAGCGGGAGTCAGTGTCTGCGAGGCGAGAAGGCTCCCTTGGGGCAGAGCCCAGGGAAGCCAGGTCAGAACAGAACGTGGCTCAACATGTGTTCTGAATCAGGCTGGTGTGCCAGGCATGTGTGTGGCCTGGGAATGGGGTGCCAGTAACCCAGCGCCACCCCTGGCCCACCCACCGGCCTACCTCCTCGCTGGTATCGCTGGAGGTGGACCGCGCCAGGGCTGGCCTGGGGTTCTCGGAGGCCACCTCGACCAGGGCTTCACGACTGTTCTCCTGTTGGAGGGAGGACAGGGGTGGGTTGGTGGGGATGGGTCAGGGAAGTCGTGAGCAGGAAAGGGAGATTGCAGGGAAGACAGGTGCCTTGTCTGAGAACTCCCACTTGAGCCCTTGCCACCCACCGACAGAGCCTGCCTGGGGCCCTCAGGGGACTTGCATTGTTACATTTTTCCAAGGATCAGGGGAGCCTGGTCCCAGGCTAGGACGGACCATGAGGGATTAGCTGAACTGCCCACTCCCCCATCCTCCCAATGAGCCTTCAGGACTGACCTGCCTTTTGGGCCAGTGACAAAGGAGAGGTCCCTGGGGCATGGGGATACTGGGGGCCTCGACCTGGCACAGGAGACCGCTGTGGTGCTCCCTGAATCTCCCATGGTCCACCTGACTATTTACTTGGACTTGACCCAGGAATCTTGAAACTGTGACCCCAAAGCAGCCAAGAAGGGCTTCAGAGGATTAAGGTGGATGTGGTTCTGCACCCACAGGTGGAGTGAGAGGTTCAGGTGGTCCAGGGCCACCCCCTGCTGTGTCCCCCCCAGCAGGAGGCCCAGGGGCAGGGGCGAATGAGCAGACCCTGCAGAGCTTCGCCCTGTGGTCAGTCTATCCCAGAGCCAAGGCCTTAGCCTGGCGCTCAGCCCCTGCCTGGGTTCCTCTGGCCTCGGCTGGCACCGTGCCCTGCATCTCTTCCCCAGCCTCTACTGCCTTCCCTTCCCTCCTGCCTGGAAGGGAGGAGGGGTGGAGGGGCAGAGAGGCTTTGTCTTCCAACCCGGACTGGAAGTAGCTGGGCAGCGTGTGGCCAGACACTGCAGCTCTGTTCTTGGGGGGAGAATGGCCTCTTCTGTGCGGTGGCGGTTGGAGGCGGGGCTTGGCACCCAGGATGGCGGGCTGCAGAGGAGCATGCCAGGCCTCTTCCCCGGACAGCCTGGCTCCCAAGAGGGGGCCGAGGGGACGCTGGCAGGTACAGAGCGTGGAATTCTGGAGGGAGTAGCTTGGAAACTGGAGTTTCAACCTGAGCCAGGTCGTCGTCCTCCCAACCATGCCACCTTCCACCCTTCCCTGCAGCCCCCAGGCTGGGAGCAGTTAGGGGTCTGCTTTTACCTTCTGGATCTCCCCATTGGTAAAGGGCTCAGGCAAGGGACCTGGTGGAAGAAAAAAGCAGAGGTGAGTCCAGGAGCTCTGGGGAACTGGGACGGGGAGAGCATGGAGGAGGGAAGAGGTGTGGGGCTGGGAAGCTGTCTTGTTCCCTGGGTCAGTATTTAAAAGTCCCTTGACTGCAACCCATTGTAAATGCGGCTGACATTCTGACGACCAGGCACACACAGACTGCGTGAGTATAAAGAGTTTCACAAAACAACCTGCCCTTACCACAACCCCCAGACCCAACCCTCCCTGCATCACAACGCTCTCTGGTATTTTCTACTCGCTTTCATTAAAAAGCATATGCTGGTTCCTGCCTGCTACATTCATCTTACGAGCCACTGATGGCCAATGAGCTGTGTGAGAAAAGCACTGTCCCAGGTGAGGCTGAAATTCCCCGCTGGCTGCCTCAGAACCACCAGCGAGGATGTCAGGAATGCAGATTCCTGGGCCTGGGCACCAGGGCCTCTGATCCAATGGGGCTGAGGTGGCCCAGGAACCAGTATGTTCCAAGGGCTTCCTAGGTGATGGTGGTGCCACTAGAATGAGAACCACACCCAGGCTGTGGTTAGGACCTGCCTCGGCTGAAAGGGAAAATAATCCCAACTCCTCCTGGCCACTGTGGAGATGAGGACAGGAGGGCTCAGCCAGTGTCCCAGCCAATGGGAAACCTGCTGGTGGCGGCAGGGTCAGGGGTCACCCTCACTGGGCTCACTCAGGCCAGAGGCCCCACGTGACTGCAAGGGAGGCTGTCCCACCGCTGGGGACTGGTCAGCCTGGGTGGGTTTCTTCTGAACTTTGCTTTAACATCAACATACATCGTTCCCCCCACCCTGGACCAGGGGCCGGGCAGTCAGGTGTACCTGACTCTCACCTTTTCCTCCCTTTCAACACCCTCCGCCTTCCCACGGTGGCTCGGCAGGGGACTGCTAGGACATAGGGACACTCACTCTCCCACTGCCCCCAAGCCAGCTGAATGGGTAGAAGACACCATCCTGGAGAAACCAGGAGGGACAGTGGGGAGGAGACCTGTCCCTGGGCCTCTTCCAGTGCAGGTCCTCTGGGGAGGGGCTGCAGTCACCCTAGTTCTCAGGGCCCCTCCCACCCAGACAGGGACAGAGAGGGAGGAAGGTGAGGGCTGGTGGTGAGGGGAGGAGGCTGCTGGAGGAGGCAGGGGGAGGCATCTGAGGAGCTGAGTGGAATCCAGGCCTCTGCTGATTCTTCCTCATGTCATGTTCCCAAGAGCAAGGCTTCTCTGGGCCTCAGTTTCCCCCTCACTGAGGAAGGGGATTATCTGTGTTATCTGGTTTCCATGAACTTGGGAGACAAGGGTAAGGCGGCATCCCAGCTCCCATGCTGAGTTTACCAGGGACTTCCAACTAACGCATTCCCCCCCTTCCAGCAACACCCAGCAAGCTAGATTGGGCTAGATAGGGATGGGGTCTCCCCATTAGGCCCCTCCAACTAGGGATCTAAGCCTATGTTAGGACCTTTTTGTGGACCCCCCCCACACAAAGCAGGACCAAAGAGGTTCCTTCTCTGCCCCTGATTCCCCCCCCCGCCAGCTCCCCCTGCCATCTGCCCAGGGAGAAAGCCCAGACCAGGGAGCAGAGTGATGCTTAACTCCTCCCTGCCCTGCTGTAGCAGCCCTGCCCCCTGTTTAGCTTGGGCTTGGGCAAGAGGAGGTACCAGGCTTGGCAGAGTGATGGTGGGGGATGGGGAGGACAGGGGCCCAGGGACCAAGGGGGGACCCACTGCTTTCTACAGCCAGCAAGCCTGGGTTTCCAAGACAACCTGAGAAGGGAAGGGGAGCACTGGGCCCCTGTCATTGGACTCTGATCTGACCAAGCAAAGGCTGGAGGCCTCCCAGAGTTAACCCTTTCCTTGCATCAGCCCTGCCCTGAGAATGTGCTGGGGTGGCAGAGCTAGGCCTCCCTTTGGTGCTACAGCTTTGGCCCAGGAATCAGCAGCTCTGCCCCATCTCACCATCCCTTGGGCCAGCTTACCCCTTACATATGCCATCCTCAGAAACCTAACGCTGATCCCTGCTTCCTGTCCTGACACTAGCTAGGGCTTACTCTCTCCCAACCCACCCCCCTGGCCTCCCTTGAAGGAGATGGAGGGAGCATCGAAGCAGGAAGCTGTCCCCCTCACCTGGGACACAGTCCAGGTCTAGAACTCTGGCCAACATCCCCGGACTTGGGGGCCTCCAGCCACCCCACCCAGCTCACCGTTCAGGTGCTCGTGCGATGGGATCACTTTGCATTTCTTGAAGAATTCATCAGTCTCCTTGTCCACCACCAGCAGCTTGGTCTCGTCGCCACCAGCCTTGATGGCAGATACCACATCCCCATGCTGTTTGCCCTCCATGCAGACCCCGTTCACCTGTGGGTGGGGGTGTGGTTACCAGCACAGGTCTCGGTTCTGGGGGGTAGGGCGAGGAGGTACCAGTGGTCCTCTTTGTCCTTGGCCATTCAGCAATCTAGGGACACTGACTCCACCTTGTCTGTAGAGTTCTGAACGAGCCAAGTGGTCCTCCGTCCTCCCACTTTATAGTCAGACAAGAGGCAGGACACATGGGAAAAACCAAAGAAAATATCCAGACCAGACTATGCAAACACAGCTGGGACAGACGGGACGGGAAAGGTCTGGAGACCTGGGAAAGATCTGGAGGCCCAGCTTCTCTACGGACTTGTTGTCCGACTTCCCTCTCTGGGCCTTGGCTTGCTCACATGTAAAATGAGAAGTCTTGCCCGGCCGGGCGTGGCTCAGCAGTTGAGCATCGACCTAGGATCCAGGAGATCCCGGTTCGAATCCCGGTCAGGGCACATGCCGGGTTGCGGGCTCGATCCCCAGTCGGGGATGTGCAGGAGGCAGCCGAGCAATGACTCTCTCATCATTGATGTTTCTCTCTCTCTCTTTCCCTTCCTTTCTCTGAAATCAATAAAAAGATATATTAAAAAAAAAAAGAAAAGTCTTGAGAGAGCTGATCTTCTAGCTCAAAGGTTCTAAGACTGAAATTCTGGGACTGCCCAAGGCATTTGGTTTCCGTTTCCCCTCCGCCTAATAGCCTCAGTGGGGAGAAGGGTTTCATCCCTCTGCTCCACCCCTGTGCCTGACATGGAGGACGCAGGTGGCAGGAGCCTCTAGGGATGGCCCGGATGTCTACCCAGATCGAGGGTGAATCATGAACTACCAAGTGTGTCTGCTCAGTGAGGAAGAGCCCAGGGGAGGTGGGAGTGGAGAGGGAGTCAGTTCCTTTGCCTACCCACCTGCCCACCCACCATCCCTCCCTC